GGCTCATAATTATAAGGTTGTGGTCCGTCATATGCATTCGAATATTCATGTTCAACTTCTTCTGTGTCTTCTGTGTCGAAACTAGCATTGGGATCCATGTTTATTAATACGTTTACACCGGCCGCTCTCCCCCTTGTTTCCCCCATGTTACGTCACACGCGGGAGGTCATGTGCCGAGGCTTTTTTATGCGGAAGTGACCATTTCTTACAAAAACTACGCCAGATGTCACTGTAGTGTATATTTCTGTATATATATTTTTTTAAATCTAGTGTATTCATCATTTTCCTACACATTTATTCACAGGTGTCTTTAACCTGGAAGTTGCTCTTTAATGATTACTGGTTCCATGTTGATTTATTTCAATACAAATTGTTGGGGGGAACTGAAAGGCTATTACCGCACTGGTTACTTTGCAGCCCGGACATTTTCCCCAAAACAGATTTAGACGCGATCGCAACAAAGACGTACCTTTCAAATCCAATCATTTTTAAGACCTTCTAAATCATATTTAAGACCTTTCTTATTTATTTGGTCATATTTAAGACCTTTTTAAGGCCTTAAATTCAGATTATCAAATGTAAGACTTTTTAAGACCCCGCGGGAACCCTGGAATAAACTGGGAATTTTCAAAATTGAAGGTTGGCTCTTCATAGGGAACTTAAATATAGTTGGGGAAAGTATATTTTAGCATAATCTTGACTAAAACAAACAGGTGCCATTCAAGTACACTTGAATATCCATGCCATAGCACACTGCTTACTCCATGGCTATTGAGACCACACCCCCTACGGGCACTGGGCATTCCTCCATCACATGCACAGATGAGTAATATTTAACTCAACATTCCTGTTTACGTTCTTCAATGAAACAAATAATTGTTCAATAAAATAATTAAAACTTGTTCTGTTCTACTTTAAAAAAATAAAAACAAATCTGTTGAAATGTCATGTTTTTTGTTTAATTTTGCGTTGAATATTTCCAAAATTCCCCAGCTTAACTTCCCAGTTTTATTTACCGGAAACTTTCCGCCCCTTTGCAACCCTAGTCTGAAGTATGTTCCGTATAGAAATGGCTTGTCAATAACAAAATGACATGCAGCAGATGGCTTTCCTTCAGAGCTCATCATCTCGATCAATCTTCTCTTGCAAACATAATCTTGCCATTCATTACCTCTCACTGCGGTAAACACGGGTGTCTTTTGACACTGATTGCTGACTGCAAATCACACAGAAACACAAGGGAACTACAGTAACTTTTCCTGAATACAGTTATAAAAGGCCAAGTTCTTACATATAAATGGGTGTTCACTTTAAGAAACACAACAGCTTTCTGTTGATAATTGAACGTATGGGTTTTATACTGCCTTGTTTAAAACTTTTACTGATGTAAAGAAACCCAAACAGCTCCATAAAACATTTATAACAAAGTTTGTAATAGTATGCTGTGAAGCCCAGGAGTTTATTTAATGATATAATCGTTTAAAGATCCTGACTATTTGTGTTGCCTGGGGTCTGAAATGATGAAAGGTTTTTCAGTAAAAAAAAGAAACATGAGAATGTTTTCACATGAGGAGATTCTCCGCTAATGAGCTGCCTCTTAAAGTTAGCAGTAGGCTTCTCGCAGTGGGAGAATATCCCACTGGTGTTTTTCTCCCAGAGCATCGGTATACAGTATATTAGTGTTACTCACATTTAAAAGGCTTCCCTTATTGAACCAGTGCTATTAGACAGATAGCTTGGGTTTCTCTATTATTGTCATACAGGCCTGATGACTGATCTGTCTTTTCTGTGTCTGTTTAGTATGTGTGAGGTTGAACTTAGCTCAGGCAACACTAAAGCACACAATCCTTGAGAGAAAAGCAATCAGATAAAAAAGGAAATCTATTATTTTTCTCTTAAAATATATACATCTTATAAACCCAGGACCTACTCCACCAGCTCCATGTTCTTCTTTTTGTTAAGTTCATGCTCTTCTTTTTAGCCTCACAGCAGCTGGGCAGATTGGCTCAGCATAATTAAAGGAAATTTGGCTTCTACCTCATATAGACTCCAACCATGACCTTCTGGTTTTGAGAAGCCCCATAGACTTTTATGTTTTATTACAAATAAAACAGACTAATCATTCAAAGTGAAGTGGTTTGCAGAGCACATTCATAGACCATGAGCTTGAGATACAGACATATGACACCAAACGAAAAATGAATGAAGGAACATTGTTAGCGTTTTATGTCTGCACCATGAACAGGGATTTAGGTGAAGGTTATGTGATAAAAAATGTATGGGTTTGCACATGTGTTTGTGTACAGTTTGTGGGGGTGTGTGTGCAGGGAGGCAGGGACGCATCAGACGTGGAGGATCTAAGGTTGAGGAAGATAAGAAACAGCAGATGAAAGAGATGAAAATGCCAAGTCGAGCGAGGAAAGCTCACCCGGATGTTGTCTAGGACTCTCTGAAACTCCAGCGGCTCGTCTTTCCCCTCCATGTCGGTTGGGTCGAGACCATCGCCGCCATAAATAAACTGGATGATGTCGCCGGTGGAGCTGCGTACTGTCAGGTCGTACTGTGAGCACAGATCCTCCAGGGACTTCACCAGACGCCTCTGTCCAAACACAGGCAGGAACACAAAAAGAAATCATGGTGACATATCCCAGAGACATGAAATTACATTTCAGATAAATGTGTGAAAATAAATGAGATGCAAACTTCTTCTAAAAGTGTTCAAGCATTCTGACTGTTATCTTATTTGCATGTTTGGAGACAAACCTGGATTCATTGAATGACAAAAAGTTCTCATTATAATGCAGAAATGCAAAATGTTCACAAACTCCAGCTCCCAGATGTGCTGCTTTTTCAGTGTTTTGATTTATTTTAAATGTAATATCTTTGGGTTTTGGACAGCTGGATAAGACCATTATTCTTTGGAGGTCTTTCCTTTTTTAATTTAGACCAACATTGGGTAAAATGGTTATGATCGCAGTGAGGAACAACACGTATGTTTAGAGCCAATTAATGCTCTCTTGGCTCAACACTACAAGTGGCCCCTTTCACATTGTTTTCACATTTTTGTTTTATTTAAGACCCTGAAGACAGCTTGTGCATCTTGTGATCGCCATTTTCCTCTATTTTTACTACTTTCCAATACTACAGACTAAATGGTAAGAAAATATTACCATGTTAATGTAAGATGAATACAACCATAAGTTCCAGCACAACGACTCATTTTAATTGTCAAGAACCCTTTTTCTTTTCACAAATGTACTTGCATCACAACACATATAACAGTTATGAATATATGTTGGAGAAGTGAATTACGCCCCACTATGTACCGCCCCCATACGTAAGCTTGTAATACGTTTTTGCGAGACATTTCTTTTATTCAAAGAATCATTTGTGAATAGGTGCAGGATTTAATTGGAAATAAATCATCAGGCGTTACCTGCATATATCCGGTCTCTGCAGTTTTCACAGCAGTGTCCACCAGACCCTCTCGCCCAGCCATGGTGTGAAAGAAAAACTCTGTGGGGGTCAGGCCGGAGTAAAAGCTGTCGGCCACAAAGCCTTTAGCAGCAGGCAGCTGTGGAGAAATGATTGTGAAGCCTTAATATTCCAGAAAATGGTAAGTGTATCTACAGTTGTTATTTATGCTATCCAGTTTCCATCAATTTTGTTTTTACTCTTCTAAATTACAGAGAAACAAAAAGTATAGATGGAGGCAAAACAGTGATTACTGTCAGTGCACTGAGGATTTTTGATTTAGCCAATCAGTGGCTGTGAATATATAATGACAAACCACCAAAGAAAATCAATGTCAAGGCCCTTCAAGGCCTGTGTGAGAGCTGGAAGAGGCCCCCTATTGTTGCAATCACATTTCAGAATATTAATAATTCAATGGAAAAAACACATAACAAAGCCTCAAATAACAGCCATTCATTCAAAGAAAAAAAGAAACCATTGTGTATATAACAGCAGAATAATTCAGAATACAACGTATAACACCTTTGAGTATCAAACAGCACAGTCATTTAAATAAAGAAATTGGATCTTACTTTGGAGTGCTTTTCAAAGTGAGGCAGGGAGCGATTCTCAAAACCGTCAGGGACTCGAGAGCCACTTATGGCCTGCTGGCCCACACAGGCAATCATCTGAGAGATATTAATGAAAGACCCTGAACGTATACAGAGAGGAAATGTTACATATAGAACACAAACAAATGAACAATAACCTAAATAAGAGTAACAGAACACAGGCAGATATTCCTAGTTATGCATCGACTTGCACAAAAGACTACTGCATTTGTTGACAATGCACATGTTTACCGCAGTTTTCAAGGGCCTCTTGGCACCCTTTATGAGTCACTTCTATGTTTAAATCACAGGATTGGAACATGTAGGAGAATAATGCGCTCGCTTGTGAATAGACTACAGCAAAGGACACACGGTTTGGCCTTTAATAGAAAACAGTTTTCCCTGATGAAGAGCTCTTTAACAGCCACAGCTAAAGGGAAACATATTTCATTGCAGCTCATTACTTTGAATCTTACATAAAGGACACAGTCATCTGAATAAAGACTTGTTTTAATATTCTAATACCCACTACTCACTAAAAATGTTTTGGATAAACCTCCCTGTGGATATTTCCCCAAATATATTCAGTGTTTACATTATTAAGTGGCTGAGCATTATTCTTCCGGGAGTTTGTTTTTAGAGAAACAAGGCTTTGACAGGTTAAGAGTTTCCTTTCTTCATTGACTGAAGAAAGTTTTCTTCTTCAGGTTTGGTCTACCTATGTTGTAAATGTATTATCTTTTCGATTTAAACACGGCATCTATTGCACGTCTGTCCGTCCTGGGAGAGGGATCCCTCCTCTGTTGCTCTCCCTGAGGTTTCTCCCATGTTCCCCTTTAAACTGTGGGGTTTTCTCTGGAAGTTTTGCCTTGTACGATGTGAGGGTCTAAGGACAGTAGGGCTGTCCCGAATACCATTTTTCGGGCTCCGGATATTCGGTAGTAATCAGCAGCGAATATTCGGCCCGTGCGAACCACTTCAACACGTGTATTTCGGTGTATTCACGGCATTCATTTTGTTATTCTACAGTATTGTTGTTTTATAGTTATTTGTTAATGTAACCCAATTTGTGTTCTTTGAAATTGAAAAGGATATCGCATTGTGTTTGTTACTTTCGTTGCAGTTGTATATGTCTTAAAGAGCATCTTGCAGGTTTTTTTTTTTTCTACATTTATGCTTAAACTTGCTTGAAATTACAATTAAAAAAGTGAATGTAGGATTTGATGTGTTACAAGACATAAGTGCAGGAATTCAGAGGGAAAGGAGCAATTTTGAGCTCTGCTCTTAAAAACTGCTTTTTTTTTAAGGTCATACGTCAAACGCGTCATATTACATCACAAAGGGTAAACATCTCCGCTCTCTGACAGCGGGTATAGTTAGTAGTTGCGTTGAGTTGAGTGGTTGTGTTTCAGATCGTCAAGTATCAGCCGTATCTCGCGTCTCCCCTCCGGTACACAGCACTGTAGTGTGGAGTTGCATTAGGTAACGCGAGATACGGCTGATACTTGCGCATTAGTTTCTGTTATGGATCAGTATCAACAGTCCTGCCAGTAACGTTACTATATTATCAATGCTACTTTAGTTATAGCCTGATATATGATAGCTAACTTCAAAATGTTGTGATGTGACGTTAGCTAACGCCGGTCACTCACCAAGATAGCTGCCCAGTCCTCCACTGGTTCTCCTCACACCACAGCTCAATTTCTCTCCGATGGCCGTTATTTCTTCTAATCCTTGGCTGCTCCTGGTCACTTGGACGCCTAGCAGGCTCGTAATTATAAGGTTGTGGTCCGTCATATGCATTCGAATATTCACCTTCAACTTCTTCTGTGTCTTCTGTGTCAAAACTAGCATTGGGATCCATGTTTGTTAATACGTTACACCGGCCGCTCTCCCCCTTGTTTCCCCCATGTTACGTCACACGCGGGA